TTTTATACAAAAATTTAATGCAAATTATCATCTAAAGTGTAGATTGATAGATTATATGAGTGAACGAGAGTGTAATGCAATGAATGTAATAATTTAAAAATCACCGGCGGAAATTGTTTTTTTGTAATTTTCCACCTGAATGCTTTTCTAAATTATAAGATTATCTTGAAAATGCAGTAAATCCAGTAGAATGATTAAGAAAAGTTTAAGCATTAAACATGAAAAATATACATTTATTGATGCCATAAATTTAATAAAAGAAAATAACATGGATGTGCAGTACAACGAATACATTTTTATCATGTTCAATTTTAAATTTAAATATTTTTCAATATAACAATACTTTGCTACAATACATTTTGTAAATTGCTTAAATGTTTATTGGGTTGTTTAACTTTCGTCTCGTCTGTCAGCTGCATTTAATGACATTTTATATTTATGTTTTAATGTTTAAATTAAAAATAAATTCATTAAATTTATTTATATCGCGATCGTTTTTATTTGCGTTATTAATTCCAAATGTTCTATAAATCGTGACTTTGGTTTAATAACTTTTTTTTACATCGAAATCATTAAAACTTAATGTTTTTTTCATTATTTTCAGTAGCAAGGCGTGTTTGAGTTTTTATGTAGAAAAAGTTCTTAACTTGATATTTTTATTAAGTCGATTGAAATTTTAAAACAAATTTTGATTACTTCAATCTTAACAACTTTTTGTTTAAGAAACTTTTTTTTTTACGTACATTTGACATTTTAATTTCCGGTTTTATTCTTAAAACAACAGACAGTAATTATGCAAAATATTCATAAAAAATATTAAACATTTGCAGATTTTGAAAAGATAAATTTTGTAATAAAATCAAATTGTTTTCTATACTTTAAAATTAAGTTTAGAAAGTTCATTTTAAATTATTAAAAAAATAGATCTTGCTTTATAGTTGTCAAGTTTAAATTTATTTAATTGTATTTTACCATATAAAAATAAATTTCTCACCATTGAACTTGACTTGCGGTTAATAGAGTTGGCTAACAATCAAAATTTGTATTTAAATATTTCGTTGACCTTTTTAAGCATTTTGATCATGTTGACAAAAAGTAATTAATGTTTTTTATATAACAATTAGATAAATAAACAAATGTTGGAAAAGAATCCCATTGAAACTTCCCCATATTATTCTTATTATGTAAAATATTCTATTGTTCAAACCTGATACGCATAATTAATGTAATTTTTCGTTTCATTAATAAATAATGTTGTTGTTATGAAATATTCTTTATTCAATGAATTTATTAATATGGTCAAATATAATAGGTATGACATTTTTTTTTCAATTTAATAAATATGGCCAAACACCTTAGAAAACAATTGTATAATGAATTAAGTCATAACAAAAGCTGATCGCTGTCGTTCGTCAATGGAGACTTAGTGGGGAAATATGTGCTAAATAGACTTTAATGAAACTGTTGTTTTCATTATTCTTTTAATAGAAGTTTTGCTTATTTTTATGGAAAATAGTAACTGTTTTGAAATAAAACGAAAAAAATAGAAAATACAAAAATTAGTTTGACACCTGTTAGAACCCATTAGGCTGACTAGTCAATAGACTGGCCCATTGACTAATTTATGGAATAATCTAAGACATATCTATTGCTATACCCTACACCACTTCAGTGTGGAGGGTATATTGGGTTTGTGCTGATGTTTGTAACGCACAATAATATTGGTCCTATACCCACCTTAAAGTATACCAATCGGCTCAGAATCATTTTCTGTCGTCGATTTAGCTATGTCCGTCCGCCTGTCCGTCCGTCCGTCCATGTAAATCTTTTAATCAAACTACAGGTCGCAATTTTGAAGATAATTCAATGAAATTTGGTACATGATCTTCTATTGTCCCAGGGACGAAGCCTATTGAAAATGGTTAAGATCGTTCCATTATTTCACCTAGCCCCCATACAACTGAACCCCCCAATAGGGCTTGTAAACCTTGTAATCAAACTACAAGTCGCAATTTTGGAGATAATTCAATGAAATTTGGCACATGATCTTTTATGGTACCGTAGACGAAGCCTATTGAAAATGATTAACATCGGTCCATTATTTCACCTAGCCCCCATACAACTGAACCCCCGAATAGGGCTTTTAAATTTTGTAATCAAACTACAGGTCGCAATTTTGGAGATAATTCAATGAAATTTGGTACATGATCTTTTATGGTACCGTAAACGAAGCCTGTTGAAAATGGTTTACATCGGTCCATTATTTCACCTAGCCCCCATACAACTGAACCCGCCGAATAGGGCTTTTAAGTTCATTATTATGTTTAATATACTCATATCTCGAAAAAAGCTGCAAAAACCAAGTTCTATACAAGATTTGATGACCCTCACGAATTCCATAATAATAGGTCCTCATATGACCCTAGCCCCTATGAAAAGCCCCCATCAAAATTTCACTTAAATGTCCACAATTTTATTCAACAATAAACGGCTTAAGTATGTATATCTGAGGCAAGGTACAATTCAATTTAAATGCTTTATTATGGCAAATAAATCACATTATATTTTTGTCAATGGTGTAGGGTATTATATGGTCGGCCTCGCCCGACTATAATTTCTTACTTGTTTATGGAATATTCTAGTTACCATAGGCCACAATATACTTTACTTACTTCTAAAATGTTCACAAAATACTGAGCTAACCAGGCGTAGTTATTGACACTTAAGAATTGTTCCGTATCATATTTCAAACGCCCCGGTAACTATTCGATAATCCATACCAGAACCTTAAACGGGTTAAAACGTTCGGTAGTCCACATGGTATGACTAGTATATAGACTTGTGTATGGACTAGCCTATGAAATAGGCGTATATTCCGTAAACTAGTTTATAGAATAGTTATTAGTCTAATCCAAATACTACCCAATACTCTAGTTCACTTAATTGAAAATAGTCCATAGAAAAATCAGTGGACATTTATGTTTATTGAATATATAAGAATCTTATGACCAGTTTATAATATTTTCTAATGATAAGCATATTAATTAATCTGGTGACTAGACTTTGGTCTAGTCAATTGACTAATACATAGACTAGTCTATGAACTAATATATGGACTTATATATTAATTAATATATGATCTAGTCCATAGACTTATCTATGGACAACTCCTAGGACTAGACTAATCAACATCCTACTCAATAAGCTAGTCCATTAACCGATCTTTACATTAGTCAATAGTATAATATATATAATCTGGTGGACTTCTTTGGACAAAAAGTGTAATATCAAACTACTACAGGGAGTTTAGCGTACACGTACTTGGGTATAAGTAGTGCCATGAATACTACGTCAACCAAGGTTCTGGAAACGTTGCTAGATATTGCACCCATTGAAACATATGCATATAAGATATGAGGCGGCACTCACAGCCGAACGGCGAACTGACCAAAAGCGGTTATAGGACTTGTCATCAATGTATACTGGTCACATTGGAAGGTTATACACAGAATGTCTTGGTCAAGCGGAAAATTAGAGCAAATACCCGTAGGAATCGGTTGTTTCACGGATGGCTCTAAATTAGAGGCCTGGGGTTCTATATTGAAGACCCAAAAGCAGAAATATACCACCGTTTACCTAATCATAACACTAGGTTACAGGCAGAATAAATATAGCGCCCACAGGGCTTTACATATTTAACGACAGCCAGAAGGTAAATAGGCCGCTATCAGATGAAAAAGTTAAATTAAAGACCTTATTGGATTGTAAAAAGGCTCTAACCGAATACTCTTCCAGAGGTAAGGTTTACATTTTATGGGTACCAGGCCACACGGGAGTAGTCGGCAACGAAAGAGCTTTAAAAGGAGGGAGCTCGAGGTAGTTAACCTGACGAACGTAAAACCATTTGACGCAAATGTGGATAGAGCCTCAAAGATCTTATGGGGCGACCCTAACGAAGGTTAGTATGATGGTACGCATTTTGAGTGGACCCATAGGATTACGGTCAAAGCTATACAAAATTGGAAATGCGGATTTAGACTATCAGACTGATTGGAAAGTTCTTAAGAATTAAGTCCAGGAAACTGAGATTCTGAACATCGGACGATAATACATTCAGTGAATACTATATAAGGTTTTTGTTTTTACCAACAAACATTTTCCATGGAAAGGTGCACACGACAGGTCCGATAGTGGCCTAGCTGTATTTCTTCGGATTTGATGTAGATACATCCTCCTATCAACATAGCCTAACATAGTCCATATATTATGGACATGTTTATAAGTTAAGCCATAGACTAGGTCACATAGTGGTTATGAGACTATTCAATAGTAAAAAGATATGCCCATAAACGGATCAATAAACTAGTCAATAGATTACGGAATAGTCTAAAGACATGATTTTAGTAAAATTTATAATTTTAAAATATTAAGTCAAATAGTAACTTTATCATACGGGATTGTAAATTTGTCGGAATTGTGGAACACATCAAACGAATGACAAGAAGCTTATCGTTTAGACCGATTAGATAAGCCAATCAATTCAACCTTTCATTTTGCCATTTTTTCATAACAAGATGCTTTGAAATTACTATATAAAAGCCGACTGACTGATTCACAAGGAAGTAGAAATCGTTAAATTTAATGACTAGTAATATTTATTAATTTTGACCCACTGTGCTATTACAATATTAACAATTTCATCACAGTTGGAGATATTACAGCAACAGCAGCTCATATAATTATATTTACTTGTCTCTCTATTCAGAGTAATTTAAAACATATTTTCACAAAAGAAAAAAATCACAATAAGAAAAGTAAAGACAAATTATAAAATTAAAAATAAATGGAAAATTAAACGAAATAATTTAACTGTGTTACATAAACCCAAAAGAAACGGGATGAGATGATTTTTAGTAGTAATACTTTTTTTTAAAAAATTTTAAAAATAAATTAAGAAAATTATAATAGTAAATAATAAGAAAATTAATGTCATACGTTACCTGTGTACTGAGAATTGATGGAGCTCAAGTTGTCATCGCTTTCACGACTCATGCTGTTTGTATCTGCAAAATATGAAAAAAAGAAAAGAACGCAAAAAATGCAAAAAACTCATAAGCAAACAAGTAACAACAAACAATAAAAATATATAAAATAAATTAAAAAAAAAACATGCAACAATTTTTGTTAAATTAAATAATAAAAAGAGAAAGAAATTAACTTAAAGCTGATCTGGTGGGTTGGGCAAAATTAGTGGGAATTTATAAAAAGAAAGTTCTGAAAGTGCATTTTTTTAACTAGGTTGTGTACAACTTAAAAAAAAATAAGATTCTTAGAAAAATATTGGTAGTAAAAGCCAGCGATTTCTTTATAGCAAATGTCAATATCTTTGAATTCAACAATGGAAAAATGGAAAATTTCTATTTAATATTTTCTTCAAGAAACGACTCAAAATTTAAGATTGTCCTGCTCATAGTTGATTAAGTATACATATGAGTAAGTCTAGGTTCTGGAAAGTACATATAAATAGCTGTTGTGTACTTTCCGCGCATGTTGAATTTCAAAATGGTGTTTTTTTTTCATTATTTCAAGGGGATTTTTAAAACGTCTCCAACATCTTGTAGAACAATTAACACATTTTATTTAAATTTTAAAAATCAATGTCTGATATAAATATAATTAAAAACAAATAACTTCAAAATAAGAAAAGTAAACAGCACTTGAAGCAAACAAATAATTCTGAATGTGTGCATAATTATGTATATAATTTAAAATAAACAGCAAAAAAAAAAATTGATTAATTTGTTAAAAATATAAATAAATCCGCTTAAGCAACAAATTTCATGCAACACAAGCTGCTTAAATATTTGTTAATCATTTCATAATGTTTATTTTTTATTTAAAGCTTAAAAATGTCAAACAAACTAGAAACAAATGTGGCATTTTTTGTGTTTCTATAATTATTTCAACACTTACCTCTGATAAGTGGAATATTATAAAAAAAAGTATTTGAAAATAATAAATAATAATAACCAGATTTTTTATAATTTATGATTTAATATACAAACAACAACTTAATTTAATTTAATTACACTTGTAAGAGAATTTTGTCTAAAAAGTAAAACAAAAACATTGAAAAAACTCCATAAATTATGAATAAATTTTGGCAAAACCTGTTTCTATAAAACTCTTATAAAAGAAATTTTAGACTTACAATTTTGCACTTTTCTATTAAAGCAGAAAATACCAGAAAACAAAAGAATATAATAAAATTTTGATTGTATAATTAAAATTTCTTTAGAGGGAATCACACCACAAAGTGTGTGTGTGGGTTACTAAAATATGGGATAATTGGTCATGTTAATGGGTGTAATAAATAACGAAACATTTATAGAATTTATAAAATAAAAAATCATTTCAAAAGGGGTACATTCCCTAAATGGACAGCCAGCGGTGACATTTTGTCTCCGTTTACAAAATAGTTAATAAATTAAACATTTAAAACAATAGCCTGTAAAACAAAAAGAAAATAAATACAAATTGAAAACGAAAATAAAATAAAATATTATAAAACAAAATCAATGAAAGTGTTTTTAAAACGCAATAGAATTTCTGATCACACGTTTTCGATTAATGATTATTTTCTACACCCACTGACAATGACATGCTTAATTAATAAATATATTATATTGAAATATGTAGATTTATTTTACATTTTTACTAAAACTAATTTTTGCAAAAAACTATAATATTTTTAATACTAATGAAAGGAAATGAAAGACAATTTAAAAAAATTTTGATTAAAAAACACGGGGGCCTTTTAATTTCCTTTTTAAAAAGATATTTTTGAATAATTAATTTTTTTTTGCAAACTCATTTCTTTTTAATTTAGTGAAATATCAAATAAAATTAACTATTTTATTAAATATTTTAATATATCTGTTGAGACAAACCAAAATCATCATCTCCATTACAAAATTTGATTGACGGCCACCCATTTGAAAATGTATATAAAATGTTGTCACAAATGACAGAGTGTTATTTATAAAATACTGATGGATTACAAACATGTCTTCCATTAGGTTCTTGTTTATACAAAGTCATTTTGAATTGTTTTCTTGTGCCAAATCACTGAAAAACTTTGTTTCGTGACAAATTTTTGCCTAAAGCTATTTTTAAATCAATCATACTTAAGTTTGTAAATTAATAAAGGTTTAACTAAACTATATAGCTTATTTTTAATAAACAAAATTTTAAAGGTTCATATTACAGATCAAAACATATGATCATTGATCACTCATGTTTCCATGAAATGTTGGAATTTGAAAGATTTAGTGAAGCAGGGATGAATTTCGTTCGTTTTTCAGTACTTTTTGATAACAAAAAATAACCGCAGTACCCTCACGATATTAAAGTACTATCTTTACTACAAATTTTAGCTAAGTAGTCCATAGACCAGCCAATAAATTTGCTAATAGACTTGTTCCAAGACTAATCCATAAACTGGTCTATAGGCTAATCCATAGACTGCGTAGACTGGACTATAGCCTAGTCCATAAATTGGCCTATAGCCTAGACCATAAACTGGTCTATAGTCTAGTCCATAAACTGGTCTATAGACATGTCAATAAAGTGGTCTATAGACTAGTCCATAAACTGAACTACAGACTAGTCCATTAACTAGTCTATATACTAGTCCATAATATGGTACATAGACTAGTACAGACAAGTATATAGCTTAGTCCATAGACTAGTGCATATACTACTATATAGCCTAGTCCATAGACTAGTCTATAAACTAGTCCATAAACTGGTATATAGACTAGTCTAGACTGGGTTATAGACTAGTTCATAAACTGGTACATAGACTAGTCCCGGTCTATAGCATAGACCATAGACAAGTCTATAGCCTAGTCCATATACTGGTCTATAGATTACACTAGTCCATACACATACATATATACCGGGTTATAGACTACTCTATAGACTGGGTTATAGACTAGTCTATAGACTGGGTTATCAACTAGTCTATAAACTGGGGTATAGACTAGTTCATAAACTGGTACATAGACTAGTCCATGGACTGGACTATAGCATAGACCATAGACAAGTATATAGCCTAGTCTATATACTGGTCTATAGATTACATTAGTCCATACACTGGTCTATAGACAAGTCCATAGACAGAGCTATAGACTAGTATATAGACTGGGTTATAGACTAGTCTATAGACTGGGTTATAGACTAGGCTATAGACCGGGTTATAGACTAGTCTATAGACTGGGTTATAGACTAGTTTATAGACTGGGTTATAGACTAGTCTATAGACTGTTCTATAGCATAAACCATAGACAGGTCTATAGTCTAGACTATAGACAGGTCTATAGCCTAGTACACAGACTAGTCTATAGCCTAGTCCATAGACTAGTATATAGCATAGTCTATATACTAGTCTATTGCATAGTCCATATAATTTTCTAAAGATTAGACTGGTCCAGTTGATAAATTTGCTAATAGACTAGTTCCTAGACCAGTCCATAAAGTGGTCTATAGACTAGTCCATAAACTGAACTACAGACTAGTCCATTAACTAGTCTATATACTAGTCCATAATATGGTACATAGACTAGTACAGAGAAGTATATAGCTTAGTCCATAGACTAGTGCATATACTACTATATAGCCTAGTCCATAGACTAGTCTATAAACTAGTCCATAAACTGGTATATAGACTAGTCTAGACTGGGTTATAGACTAGTTCATAAACTGGTACATAGACTAGTCCCGGTCTATAGCATAGACCATAGACAAGTCTATAGCCTAGTCCATATACTGGTCTATAGATTACACTAGTCCATACACATACATATATACCGGGTTATAGACTACTCTATAGACTGGGTTATAGACTAGTCTATAGACTGGGTAATCAACTAGTCTATAGACTGGGCTATTGACTAGTCTGTAGACTGGGTTATAGACTAGTTCATAAACTGGTACATAGACCATAGACAAGTATATAGCCTAGTCCATATATATATGGACTAGGGTTACAGACTAGTCTATAGACTGGGTTATAGATTAGTTTATAGACTGGGTTATAGACTAGTCTATAGACTGGTCTATAGCATAGACCATAGTCTAGACTATAGACAGGTCTATAGCCTAGTACATAGACTAGTCTATAGCCTAGTCCATAGACTAGTATATAGCATAGTCTATATACTAGTCTATTGCATAGTCCATATAATTTTCTAAAGGTTAGACTGGTCCAGTTGATAAATTTGCTAATAGACTAGTTCCTAGACCAGTTCATAAACTGGTCTATAGACTAGACCATAAACTGGTCTATAGACTAGTCCATAGACAGAGCTATAGACTACTCTATAAACTGGTCTATAGACAAATCAATCGAAAGTCGAAAGATCTGTCAATATTGAAGTTCATCAACTATTTAATAGATTAATCCGTGGACTAGTTAAGAGATTTGTCTGTGGACTACTCAATGAAGAGAATATCCGAAAATTTTAGTTCTTTAAATCCTTATAAATGATTTTATTTCAAAACTATTTCAAAATTTTCATTTCACATGAATTTTTTTCATGATTTTTATCAAAAACCATTAACTTTATTACTTAAGAATTGTAATAAAGAAGATTTTTATGTTTTTATGTTTCAAAACTAAAATTTGTTTTTATTTCAAAGCATAATTCAATTTAATGTTTGTGTAAAACAATTTTGACTATGGCTGTATGTGCTAGAGGGCGTTTGGCAAGTAAGTGTAATAAAAATGTTATTTTATTCAAGTACATTTCAGTACATACTTTCAAATAATTTTATTGAAAAATTACTAGCTGCTGGTCATTAAAAATTTGCCAACTATGCGTAGTAATATGTGTGTCTTAACCCAAATAAAGTTTAATTAACCAAACCACATTTGATACATCAAGAATATGAGCTTGAACAATGAATAAATGGATGAATAGTGGCGGATGGATGGATGGATGTTTTTTACCACAACTATAAACCCTCTACAAATTAGGACAACTAAATGGTTTCTTTGAAA